ACACACACGCACCCGGCATGAGTTTTAAGCCACCGGGTCTGGGACGCGAACCGCAGTCGACTACGTGCGAGCCCAGCAACATAGCCATTACACTACCTGCTGGCCCCAGTAATTCTGACTATAATGTGTCTTGAAGAAGATTTTCTTGGGTTGATCTTATTTGGGGTCCTTTGTGTTTCTTGGGTCTGGATCTTTGAATACCTCTCCAGGTTTGGAAAGTTTTCTTCCAGGCTTTTATGAAATAGTTTATCAATGCCCTTATTAGTCTCTTCACCTTCTGGGATACTGATTATCCACATGTTTGGATGTTTAATGGTATCTAGAATTTCTCATATATTGTTCTCATTTTGGGGGGCTATTTTTTCAGTCATTGTGGTGGATTCAGTGATTCTGTCTTTTACATCTGAGATTCAAATTTTTGTATGATCTAGTCCGCTTTTAATACTTTCAAAGGAGGTTTTGAATTTCTGTATTATAGTCTTCGTCTCCAACAGTTCCATTTGATTCTTTTTTATGGTGCATATTTCTTCTATCAGCTTTTCAAGAATTTTCTCACTTCCTGGAACTTGTCAGCTCTTTTCTTCTGGAGTTCATTGTCTCTTCTCTTGAATCTCTGTTAGCTTTGTCACTATGAATATTCTAAATTCTTTATTAGACATTTCCATGAGTTCCACTGTGCTGTCTATGGATAAAAAGGAGTTATTCTTTTCCCTTGGCATAGAGGTATGTTCATAGTTTCTCATATTTCTTGTGCCTCTGTGGTGATTTATAGTTATATGATGGGTTATTTGTTTCTTCCTAGTTTCTAGAAGTTCAATCTGAGCAATCAGAGGCACAGAGGAGGAGGGGGTCTGCAAACTCTTTGGTGTTTTGTTTTTCTCCCTTTGTGTCACAGATACAGTGGGAACTGAGGAATAGGTTGATCCTAATAGTATTCAGATGCTTGCCTACTTTTCACTTAGACCAGTCTAGACACTCAGTGTGTGGAGACTAAGCAGCAAAGTGAAGAGGTAAAAGAAAAAGGATAAGAAAACAGTGAAAGAAAGAAGAGGGAAAAAAGCAAACAAATAAACAAATTATTTATGTATTTATTTTTTAAAAATTAAAACCATGTGGTGTGCAAGTGCACTGTGCAAAACCACTAGATCTCAGCTTTCATGGCCCACTCAGTCTTCTTCTGGCCTGCCCTTTTTGCCATTCCTAAATGGGGGGGGGGGGGGGGGGGGAGGGAGGAGATTATTGTCAAGATAAAGGATGATTTCAGAGCCAAGAAAATACTTTAGCTTAAAAAATTGAAAAAAAATTAAAATAAAGAAAATTAAAAGACAAAGAGAGACAGAAGAGACAGAGAGAAGAATAGAGGAGGCTGTACCAGGATGACTTCTCAGCAGAACATCTTCATTTCTTATTTTCTGAAAGCACTAGATCTCATTTCTCATGGTGGACTCAGTCTTCTTCTGGTCTGCCCTTTTGACCTCTCCTAAATGGGAGGGGGAAAGCAGTGGGTATTATTATTAAGATAAAGGATGATTTCAGAGCCAAGAAAATATTTCACCATAAAAAAGAAAAAAAAAGGAAGAATTAAAAAAAAAAAAGACAGGGACAGAGACAGAAAGATACAGAGAGACACACAGAGAAAGAAAGCTAGAGGGGGTTTTACCAGGGTGACTTCTCAGCAGAACATTTTCATTTCTTATTTCCAAAAAGCACTAGATTTCAGTTCTCATGATGGACTCAGTCTTCTTCTGTCCTGCCCTTTTGGCCTCTCCTAAATGGGAGGGGAAAGGGGAAGGGATTATTAGCAAGATAAAGGACGATTTCAGAGCCAAGAACATACTTTACCTTAAAAAAAAATGAAAAAAGAAAAACTAAAAAAGTGAAAAGACAGAGTCAGAGAGACAGAAAGAGACAGAGAGAGACAGAGAAAAGGCTAGAGGGGGATGGCTCTAACAGGGTGACTTCTCAGCAGAACATCTTCATTTCTTATTTCCTGAAAGCTCTAGATCTCAGTTCTCATGGGGGACCCAGTCTTCTCTGGTTTGTCCTTTTTGCCTCTCCTAAGTGGGAGGAGGAAGAGGAGGGGATTATTACTAAGATAGAGGATGATTTCAGAGTCAAGAAAATACTTTACCTTAAAAAAATTTTTTAAAAGGGGCTGGCAGGAGGTGTGGTGGTTGAAGGCACTGGACTCCCACATGGCCGACTATGGTTCGAGTCCTGGACCTGGTGGTTCACTTTCTCACTTTCTCTCTCAATCTCTCTCTTTCTCTCTCTGTCTTTCTCTGGTCAAATTGAAATAAACAAATGAATAAAAAAAAGTTAAGTAAAAAATTTTAAAAAAAGAAAAAGAAAAACATAGAGCCAGACAGAGAGAACGCTAGAGGAGGATGGCTTTCCCAGGGTGACTTCTCAGCAGAATCTCTTCATTTCTTATTTCCTGAAAGCACTAGATCTCAGTTCTCATGATGGACTCAGTCTTCTTCTGGCCTGCCCCTTTTGCCTCTCCAGGGTGACTTCTCGGGAGAACATCTTCATTTCTTAGTTCCTGAAAGTAATAGATCTCAGCTCTCATGGTGGGCCAACCCAGGTCCATTCTGAGATGGTTACTGATCTTCTCCTCTCTTTTCATTTTTATTTTAACTTCATCTCTTGGTTGCTCAGGCTCCACACACTGAGTGTCTTGACAGGTCTAAATGAATGATATCCAAACAGCTGATTACTATTTGAGTCTGAATATTCCTCAATTCCCACTGAAACTGACACAAAAAGAGTTAAATATTGCTTTCAGGGATTAAAATGAAGATTTTCTGCTAAAACTTCTCCCTCCAGATTCATTTGTAGATTGATAGGGAAATCTTGTCTCCCCCTGTCTCTTAATTTTTTAAATGGAAAGCATTCTCTGGGCTCTCAAGCCCCACCTTTATCTTGGTAATTAGTGCTTTTTACCCCCTCCAATTAGGAGAGGCACAAACCCAGGCCCATTCTGAAATGGCTACTGAACTTCAACTGAAATATTGCTTTCAGGGGCTAAAATGAAGATTTTCTGCTGAGACTTCTCCCTCCAGATTCATTTCTAGATTGGTACAGAAACCTCTGTATCCTTCTCTCAATCTCTCCGTCTGTTTCTCTGAGCTCTCAAGCATCTCCTTTATCTTGCTAATTTGTGCCTTTTCACCCTTCCATTCAGGAGAGACACAAACCCAGGCTCATTCTGAGATGGATATTTCAACTGTGAAATATTGCTTTTGGGGAGTGCATGTATGTACTGCATGATTTTCATTTTTTCCTTTTAAAATTAAAATATAAAATTATTTTATGGCATTCTTTTTTAAAATTTTTTCTTCTTTTCTCTTCTTCTCCTTTCTTTTCTTTTTTCTTTTATCTTCATCTCTTGTTTGCTCCGGCTCCCCACACTGAGTGTCTTGACAGGTCTAAGTGAATGATGTCAAAACATCTTAATACTATTTGGGTCTGAATATTCCTCAATTCCCACTGAAACTGACACAAAAAGAGCGAAAAACAGGATGGAAGAGAGATTGCAGATGGCCTCCTCCAGCACACCTCTGAATGCTCAGACTGAATTTCAAGAATTAGGAAGAAACACACAACCACCTGATGACTAGAAATCACCAAATGTGAACAAGAAATATGAAGAACTAAGAAAATATCTCTCCCCCAAGGGAAAAGAATAACTCCTCATCAGCCACAGACACTACAATGGAACCTACAGAAATGTCAGATTAAGAATTTAGTATATTCATAGTGAGAACGCTAACAGAGATACAAGAGAAGCGAGACAGTGAACTCCAGAAGACACAGGAGACATGAGTTGATGACTTCCAGGAGGTGAAGAAGTTCTTGCACAATCTGAAAGAGAAAATATAAACCATAAAAAATGATCAAATTGAGCTGATAGAGATGAAGGCTATAATACAGGAAATTAAAACTTCCCTTGAAAGTATTAAAAGTAGACTATATCATACAGAGGATTGAATCTCAGATGTAAAAGACAGAATCAGTGGCCTAGAAAAATCCACCACAAAGATGGAGTAAATAGCCCCCAAAATGAGTATAATATACGAGAAATACTAGATGCCATTAAATGTCCAAACAACCAGATGATCAGTATCCTAGAAGATGAAGACTCATAAGGGCATTGATAATCTACTCTATGAAATCCTGGAAGAAAACTTTCCAAATCTAGAGACACATTCAAAGATCCAGTCCCAAGAAATACAAAAGGACCCCAAATAGACTCAACCCAAGAAGATCTTCTCCAAGACACATTATAGCAAGATTGACCAAAATCACAAAGACAAGCTACTGAGATTGGCAACAGAGAAATGTCAAGTTATCTACAAAGGATACCTCTTCAGACTAACAGTAGATCTTTCATTGTAAATAATGCAATCAAGGAAAGAATGGGAAAATATATTCAAAGTGTTAAGGGAAAAGCAATTTCAACGAAGAAAACTGTACCCAGCAAGATTATCCTTCATATGGGAAGAAAAGACAAGAACATGCTCAAATAAGCAAAACCTGAAACAATTTACCAACACTAGACCAGCTCTTCAAGAAGTTCCTAAGGGAGTGCTATGCCAAGAAAACTAAATACAGACACACACAAAAAATAAGTGTTCAATAACACTAAGAAAATGGCCAACATGCAAGAAGAACTAGATACCATCAAACGTCCAAACATCTGGATAATTGGCATTCCAGAAGGTGAAGAGACCCATAAGGGCATTGATAATCTATTCCATGAAATCCTGCAAGAAAATTTCCAAACCTAGAGAGGCATTTGAAGATCCAGTCCCAAGAAATACAAAGGACCCCAAATAGAATCAACCCAAGAAGATCTTCTCCAAGACACATTATAGCCAGATTGATCAAAACCACAGACAGACAAGATACTAAGATTGGCAAGAGAAAAACATCAAGTGACCTACAAAGGACATCCCATCAGGCTAACAGCAGATCTCTCATCAGAAACAATGCGAGTGAGGAAAGAATGGGAAAATATATTGAAAGTGTTAAGAGAGAAGCAATTTCAGCCAAAAATACTGTACTCGGCAAGATTATCTTTCATGTGGGAAGAAAAGTCAAGAACATTCTCAGATAAACAAAACCTGAAAGAATTTACCAGCACCAGACC